AGGACGGAGACGCCGGGGCGGCGGGGCGGCGGGCGCGCTGGGTGCCTCCGGCCACGGGCTCCCGCCGTCTCTCCCGGGCCCCGCCCGCTTGGCGGCTCATGGGGGGACCCCAGTCGGCGGGAGGTCCCCGCTTTCCAGGCCGGCCCCCAGTAGGACCAGGCCGAGGTGTGGAGGCACATGAAGCAGATGATTAGGACATGGATGCGTGACTTGCACATTGCTTTCTCAGTGTTGGTTTATTTAGAAAATTGTTTAAGAGAAGGAAAACACGTGGAGGGTTTAACTCCGTAAAGAGGCGCTTCTTTTCCGTTTTTACCGTTAGGGTGTCTTGACAGATACATTTCAGCTTAAACAATGTGTCTCTACGATTGTGATCAATAGCAGTAGGCAAATAGCACTAACGGCCTCACTAGTAGAACTGAGCAAAATTGGACTGAAAAAGAAAGCCTACTTAATCACAAACTCCGAATTGTTTTCACATTGACAGCATGATAATGGCGATGGCTTATTTAAAATTTTTTTCTTCTTCTTTTTTAAAGTTATCTGGTGCTGAGAATGAGACCCTAAAACAGAGAAGAACACAAATCATGTCCCGAGGACTTCCAAAGCAGAAACCAATAGAAGGTGTTAAACAAGTTATAGTTGTGGCTTCTGGAAAGGGTGGAGTTGGAAAGTCTACCACAGCAGGTATTATAGGATATTAATTCTGATCTTGATTAGGAATTTATACCAACTGGCCAGTGCACAGTATTAAAATTAAAAAATTTTTTTTAAAAAAGTTAGTATTTGTGAAGTTCCTAATAGCTTGGTTACTTAGTAGCAGGAGTTGGTAGTGATTAGGAGCTTAGATTTTTGGAGCCAGACCAAAGTAGGTAGATAGTTTTTGGCTCCTTAACTGAGGAAAAGGTGGTCAAGTTGCCCATCAGATCCTCAGTTTACTTAACTGTAAAGTGGCAATGATGATAACCTTTTTCATAGGATATTTATGTAAACTAAACACTTAGTCCAGTGTCTCCTACATAATTAGTGCTCAGTATTTGGTTACTGTTGTTATTTTGAAAACATCTATTGACTCTAATACTAAATTATTTCTGTTCTGACGTTCTTTTCCAGTTTTTTTCCATGTACATATAGTTGTACATGTAGTTGCAATGAGATTGTTCACATTATTGTGGTCTTTTTTACTTAACCATGATATAATTTTCAGCATTTATAAAGTCAATGTAGATCTGATATTTGAAATTGCTTAAAAAGGTGGTAATGTGATTAATATATAATCTAATTTTTATATCTTTTATATTAATATATTGAAGCAGAAATTTTTTTTATTTGTGGAGGCTCTTTTTAATTGACTGCAGATTTCATTGTGACGGAAATGCTGCTTTTCGTACCCATAAAAGAGTGCAAGCAGAAATAGAAGAGTTACCATCCAAGACTAATAATCAGATATTCCCAAATTTTTTCAAAAGAGACCTTTTATTTCTAAAAATTATTCCACTGTAATAATTTTAAAGGGTAACATCCCTTCTCCCAATCCTACTTGACAGAGTATTAGTAATTTGGAGTCACAAAGTTCTCATGTCTTATTGTTGCCTCACATTTAATTTTCAGTCATTTCAATAGGAATGGCCTCTAATTTAGGTCTTATTCAAACTATCTTTTTTGCAATTGATTTATAAAAAATGACTACCTTATTATGTTTCATTTTGCTAATTTTGGCTTGGCTCTATACTGACAAGTTCTTTTAAATTTTGATTTTTTTTCAGATTATTAACCTAAAGTTGGGACATATATATACTTTAAAATCCTTATTTCCATTGAAATCAATGACATTTTGAAATAAGAAGTGCCAGGTACAGAGTTCTGTGACTGTCACTAGAGATCTTGTGTCTTGACTTAAAGCCATATTTAGTAATTACTGGGTCTAGTGGTTTTATAGTTGTACAACTAGCTACAAATCCAACTACATAGGGTTATTGGCTCAATTTCCCCCCATTTTTACCTGAAGGTAATTGTAGGAGAGTTTTTCAGATGTTTGAAGAAATTAAGATCTACCAAATATTGTAGTGATGATAGGTCCTTAATTTAGTATTTAATATATAATATATTATTATTAAAAATGATTAGTGAGTGTTCTTAATGAATTCTTGCTATTATCCTACACATTTTTGCTTTCCTAAGGGCCTACAATCCATCTATTTGATACTTTGTTTTTAAAATTTAGAAACCTTTAGTCTTTAGTTCTAGAATCCACCTCTTCCTGTTTTTTGAAATTCAGAATACATTTACCTGTTTTCTGGTGCATGCTCTGTGATTACTTGGACTGGTTAAAGGTGGAAGTTATTTTCATGATGATAGCCATGGTTTTGTGCAATGTAACTTACTGGGTCTGTAGGCTAGCATGTCTTTAAAACTGATTGTTTATTGCTTTTGGTTAGAAGATTATCTATTGCTGTGGAGTGTGATAGCATATAAACAGGTAAATATATGAGAAAATGCGTAGTGTATGTCACATAGTAGGTGCTTCAGTAAATTCCCTTCCTTGCTTTTTTCCTTTGTTAACATTATTCCATCTGCCACAAACAACTGGGCTATACTTTTTTTTTTAAAAATATATCTTTATTGATTTCAGAGAGAGGGAGAGAGAGAGATAGAAACATCAATGATGAGAGACTCATTGATCGGCTGCCTCCTGCACACCCCCGACTGCGGATCGAGCCCGCAACCTGGGCATGTGCCCTGACCGGGAATTGAACCCCGATCGCCTGGATCCTAGGTCGACACTCAACC